GTGCCATCCTGACTTTGCTGCTTCCAATTTTATGACCTTTAGCAAGTCATTTAATTTCTTTTTAGCCTCAGTTTTCCCATATGCAAAATGGGAATAATTATGCCTTTCTTTTATGAGAATGGGTGGCATTATATGTGAAAATTCTAGCCCAGGGCTTGCCTGGTGGCGCAGTGGTTGAGAGTCCCCCTGCCGATGCAGGGGACGCGGGTTCGTGCCCCGGTCCGGGAAGATCCTACATGCCGCGGAGCGGCTGGGCCCGTGAGCCATGGCCGCTGAGCCTGCGCGTCCGGAGCTTGTGCTCCGCAACGGGAGAGGCCGCAACAGTGAGAGGCCCGCGGACCGCAAAAAAAAAAAAGAAAAAAAAAAAAAATTCTAGCCCATAAGAGGCTTTTAATAAGTAAAATCAATTTTCTTATTGTTTTTATTGTTATAATATTATTTTCAGTTCTATGCAACTTGCTTAAGCATTCCTGCTTTTATCAGAGATCCAGTTTTCCAAATGCCTCATTATCTTTCTGGTTGTTAAGATTAAAAAAAAATTATATTTGTTTGAACTCCTGCTGATCTTTCAGGGAAGGAAAGTTCCTCCTTCAGGGCACGGCTAACCTCTTCATCTGTCTTTTTGATCCCATCTTCTCTCAACTCCTCACCATTGATATATTCTCTGCCTTCAATACTTCCCTCTCCATTGGTTCTTTCCCTTCAGCTTATGAATATTTTCAAATCTCTCTTATCCACATTCCCCAAATCTCCAGACTGATTCTCCTCAGCATCTAAAGCCCCATTTTTCTCCAGGCTTTTATCACCACTCATTACTTCTGAGAGAGTAGTCTGCTTATGTGTTTCTGTTTAGCACCTTCCATTCTCCTTAGCTCATTGCAATCTTGCTGTTTTCTCCTCCGTTTTAGTAAACTTGTTCTTATTTGAATCACCAACTTATTTTGTAATTGCCATATTTAATGATGATTTTTCAATCCTCATGTGATTTATTTTCAGTATTTGATACTATTTACTTAGTACTTGAAACTTTCTCTTCCCTTCTTGTGAAAGGCACATTTTCCAAGGTGTCCTGCAACTTAAATTGCTTTTTTCCAATTTCCTTTTTCTGCTCCTCCTCCTCCTTCCATCTTTTATATGTTAATGTTCTCAGGATCCTTTCTTTTGTCATTTTCCCTACAAGACTGCATCTGTCTCTAAGACTTCCATTCCTTCTTAGAGCTAACAGTTCCTTAACCCACACCAGATTTCCTAAAATCTGGGCCATTTTCTCAATAACAGATGACCCTTGGCACTCACATACTCAATGTGTTTCAGACTTGATTATTTTATAACCTTAAACTTCCATTTCTCTGATAACTATCATCATTACTGAACTCACAGCAAAACTAGTCATCATCTTCTACTCCCTCCAGGCAATCCCACTGTCAACTAAAGAATGTTGCTCACCATATGGCTCTACAAGGATTGAGTCATTAGCCACTGCAGTTGCTGACCTCCACGCCGTGCTAGGAGTTCAGGGCAGAGATCAGAAATGAGGCATTCTGTGCTCTGGAAAAACTGGCAGAGCTTGCTTTCAGATAGTTAGATATTTTCAGGAGAAAAGTTTATGATTCCAGTTTCTTGCATCTTTCCATACTTAGGAATGCACGAAAATCATTAACTAGGATATCTGTGCCTCCTGACTAGCAGTAACCTTCTACTGAGATGTGTTTGATTGCATGTACCCCTTCTCCAAAATCACATATAAGCTGATGTCTCCACCGTAACTCTTCAAAGCAGTTCCTCAGAGATAGCTGAGAGGCTATAGTCCTCACCAAGTCCCCCGTAAACATTGTAACGCACAGCTTTCACGTTGCACTTTTTTATTTCAGTTGACATCACATATTTAGTTGCCAAGTTCCATTAATTCCACTGTTTTAATAATACTCCAGGGATTTAATAGTTCCTGTTTAGCCCCACTGCTGCTACTTTAGCTCAAGCTCTGTCACCTTTCATATGTTCAGTTATGTTCTCCTAACTCGAGTTTTTAACTCTTTTTAAGCATACATTACTGTTCATATGATCACTTAAATGCTTCTCCCATCCTCCAAAATAATTTATTTCCTTAATCTCTTGATAGCAAAAAAAGACATGTTTATTGTAGACATTTTGTAAGTAAAAAAAGAAATGAATGAATATTATCTGTATTGTAGTTCTTTTTCAAGGAGTGGCTACTCGAACATTTTAGTGTATAGGATTTCATTTAGTGTATAGGATTACATTTTCATGTATAGGATTTCTATTTCTTTTCCAAATAGTAATATACTTATTTTAACAAATATTAATATATTAAAATGTGGTTTGAAAATATATCTTGTCACCCTTAAAAACAATGATACATGCTTTCATATCAAGATATATGATATTGTATTTTTATTAATTTATAAATTCTATGGCATATTATAATGAAATTATGTTCACAATTTTACCACTATTTTTGAGTACTATTGGAGAGTTAGTTTTTTTCTTAGTATTAGAAATTATGCTATGGTGAATGTAGAATTTTGTATTTAAGTCTTTTTGTATAATTATGATTGTTGCTTAGAAATATTTGTAGAAGCAGAATTGCTGAAACACATATGTTTTCGACACATTTCTATAGACTTCTGACACATTTTTGACAAAATTCCCTTTAGAGAATGCTATATCAGATTAAATTCCTAGCAGCTGTTTGGATTTTGTCCATTTTCCCACTGAATTTCATCATAATAAATATTTTAACAATTTGATAGGCAAAGATGGCATCTCATTGTTTTAACTGCATGTTTGTCATTAAACTCTTTAAATAATTTCTTGTCCACTGAATTGCTATTCACGTTCTTAGCCTGTTTTTTTATCTTGATAATTATTATTTTTTAATTTATGCACATTTTATATGTTCTAAAGCTATTAACATTTAAGCTATTAAGTACTTATTTCTTTCCTCAGTATTTACAGTTTAAATACATATTCGTCATTGACTTTCCTTTGCACCATTTCCTTATTCTTGCTGTTAATCCATCTCTCTTTGATCTACAGGTAGTTGGTGTATAATAAAACTAATACTGCACTCACAATAGGGCATTGTAATAACTGATGACATGGCTTTATGAATTCCTTAGCCAAGGAAAAAGGCAAGGATTATATCTAAATCGTCTTTGTATTCTCAGTGATAAACCAAATCCCTTGCACACGTGTGCACTTAGTAGGTGTTGAATTGGACTGTTATAATCCCTGCACAACTGTGTATAATTTCCACCCCATGCTCCAGCATGAAGAACCATTTGCTATTTTCTGAATCCTGTTCACGGGATTTTTAGTATTGTTTTATAGTTAAGAGCCAAGGTTATGCAGGCAGCCAACCTGGGTTTGAGTTCAGGCTTGACCCTACCAGCTTCCTAGTTGTGTCACCTTGAACAAAGCCTCAGGTTGCCCATCTGTAAAATGGGTTATTATAGTGTCTGTATCATTGATATATTGTAAGACTTAGATGTTTACCCAATTTGAGACTAGGAAATAATTAGCACTTAATAAGTGACAACTATTATTATCATTGCAATCAAAGTTAGTTGGGTACTTCAGATGAAGTGTAGTACTGTAACTGTTAGAGTTTAAATTATTACTTATTGCATTATTAACTTATTACATGTTACCCGTGTTCCCTCTACAGAAAAATATGAACAGATTATCCAAGTCTTTAAGGACATATTTTTAAGACAAATTACATAGAAATAAATGAAAAAAAAACTGAATGAAATATATATTCCTTTAGATATTAGAAAGAATAGTAATGAATATTCTGCTTATTCATATGTATCAATACTGATAAACTATTACTCTTAAAAAGTAAGCAAATTCTGGTTATGTACATATCCTTCAATTTCCATTAGATAATAACTGACTGTAATTAATGTACACTAATACTTGGCAACTTTCCTAACTTAATAAACCCACATAAATTTTAATAAAAATAAATGAGTGTGAAAACATTTCAGAAATCTATTATGTTTATACTAACAAGAAAAAAAAGAGTGAAATGATTTTGTTGTAACTGGGAACACAAAAAGGAGAAAATCAGTCTTAAATGTCACTCATAGTTAACATTACACAATAAAAGAAAATTACCGACAAGATATTTTCAAGCACATTCATAGTGGAATAACAATGACAGTAACAATGGATGTCTCAAAAGAAATACAGTTTTACTTTCATAAGACTGTTGTCAATCTTTAGGTACTTGTAGAAACACAAAGAGGAAATGTAAATACCAGGAGAGAAATATGCAATAGCAGGAGAGAAATATTTCCTTTCTTAAAGTTGTATTATATTTTCAAAGTTGGTCTTTAAGGAATTTTGGGACAAGAGTTATTGTGGTACACTAAGTAAGTTTTCTATCAAATAAATATTTGCAGTTGATATATATGAGAACAAACTTTTCTAATTGTTTTAATGAGCTGCCTGAATAAAGAATTGAAGACAGTGTTTTAAAACTTAGACTTTTATGAAAATGTTGTAAATATAATACTCAAACCCTCTGTGATTTTGAAAAATCAGTGTTTAATCAACATGCTAATATTATTCCAAGTCAAAAAAACTACTTATTACAAAAGAATTTATTTTTTAAATTGTCAGTCCTACTAAACTTCGTTACAAATAAGGTAACTTGGGTTGCCCAGGATTTTCTTGATTTCAAAACTGAAAGTCCCATGTCCTGGGAGCTGCTTCAGTCCTGGGCAAACTGAGATGGTTGGTCACCCTAGTTATGGGTTACTTAAATACATGTTGCCATAACTACACAAAATACAGAAGAAAACCAAGAATAAGACTGTCAATATAACATGATATTTTAAATTCACCTTAAAGGAAGGAAAATTGATCGTAAGAGTATAGTGTTTGTACAAAGTCTGTTTAAAAGAAAAGAAAAAGTGCTGCTCAATATAGATTGTAACAATGATCCAAATTTACCTTAATAAGATACTTACTTTTGTAAAAATTCTTCATAGCCACATATACTTAGAAGATAATTTTGGGGTGATAACTGGTCATTTGTACAAAAATGTAGAATTTCTGCTATTAGGTCTTTGACAAGATAATTAGCTAAAAACAAAGTTGAATAATAAAATGTTAATAAGAGCATATTATATATTGGATGGGAGAAAGATTTTGAGCACAAAAAGTGATACATGCTTTATGAACTATTATAACTTTCTAGCTCCATCAAGAGGAGTTAAAATGAGATGCATCTCATTTATTAGTCTGGTTAGATATGGAGATTTTAAAAAAAATATTCTTTGCATTTTCTTTGATCAATCTGTCTTCAAATAACCGAACAGAGCTAGGTATTTCATTCCTCATTCTAAAATCTTTGGTAATTGTAGCTCTGCATAAAAAATATTCTACTGTGATTACCCTTAGGGATTTGGGAAGTGCTAAAGAGATTACACAGTGAGTGCTAAGTGGCAAGCCAGGAATCTAAATCTGTCATCTTCTAAAGCCTGTGCTCTTAATAATTCCACGTTTTCACAACTCATCTCTCTTCCTTTCCTGTATAGGAATCACCCCAGGTTCTGTCTTGGACAACGTCATAATAACCTTGAAGAACATGTACTCTCTTTCTCCACCTTCTCTGGGACTCAAAGAGTCAGCATATTATAGGGTAAAGTTCTTTGCCTTCTCATATTCACATTGCATAGTATCTCCCTACCAAACTCTTACATGCATTTGCCATTTAATAGTCGCCAGAACCATGCTGACTTGTTACGATTATATTTGTCTGTGAAATATTTTTCTAATTGTAAATGATAAATAGTATGGGATTCATTTATTATCATATGTGATAATGGAAATTATCTGTTATATATATATTATCTATCTATTTATCTATCTATCTATATCTCCATGCTTTCAATGTGATCTTGAATGAAAGTTAGTGCAACAGATTGTACTGATGATCCTTAATGAGGATTTGAACAGCATACTGCAAACACTCATTTGCATTTATTTGAGTTGCGTTTTGTTGGCAATTATGTGTTTAATATGCTGTGACTTATTTTACTGCCACACCTTTTTGTTTGGGAAAGGTTTTGACACAGACAGCCTCATAAAAAGTAGTGCAAGTGATATTGTTGGACTTGCCATGAAGAAAAAAACGGAAGAGTATTATAATGTCCTATTTAAAAGTGTAGGTTTTACGGTAGATCAAGTTGTTATCAATAAAACGGTTGGAGAAACAAATGGTAAAGATCATCATGGGAATTAGAGATTGTGGAAATGTCCTGACACAGAATAGAGTATATTAGACATGCTACTGCTTGGGAATATTAACTGAAATAATATGAATTGAAGCTAGAAGAAAATATGGCCACAGGCAAAATCATGGCTATAAAGGCTTTGACAAGAAGGGGAGAGCATTGCCAATATAAGATGGCAGGAAAATATCTCTAAAGACACCAGTTTATTTTAATTCATTTGAATTTTCTGTTTCCAGGACTGTGTCCCCTATGCTGTTTGGGGCATGCATGCATTCATTATTTCACTATAGTCATCTTTGCGGATTACATGAAAGACTCCATAATCCAGTTTCTAGCTATTACTCCTCTCCTGTGCTTTGGTGTGATATCTCCTACTATTTGCTTCATGTTACCTTTTGGTTGTCTCATTATTGCTTCAAATTCAGCATGTCTAAATCTGAAATTATCATTTTTCTCCTTGAACCCAAACATTAAGTGTCTCTGAGTTAAACTTCTCATCCGTATTGTAAGCCAACAAGAACTATGGCTTCTTTTAAGTAGACTTTATACCTGTATCTTCAATTTGACAGCTAATGTAACCCTTTTTCCAGTTTCTCCTAGTCTCCAACTTCATACAATCCTTCTCAATCTGTTGACCATATTGCCTACCATACTGAAAAGATTAAGGCCCATTTGAGATTCTTTAATTATGCTACTGTACACCTTAAATCTAGTTTTTTTATGCATTCTTCTCTATCCCTTTACACCTCTTGATACATAAGTATCACTGCTTTTTACTGCATCTTACTTCTTCACATGTGATCCTTCCATCACTGGTTTCCAGTTCCAGCAATTTAAAGCCCCTCTCTTTTATATATTTAATATCCTCCACTCTAAAGATGCTTTTGTCTTTTCTTTAGGATGTTTTGTTTCTATTTAATATTCCAGTAAAATCTCCTCTTCCATTCTATCCCCTTAAGATAGTATCTTATTTATTTATTTATTTTATTTATTTTTACCTCCTCATTACTGCCAAATTTCTTTAAAGTGTAGATAACTTCTGCAAATAATTCTCAATTACTCTTTAGTCTTGCAAACTGACTTCTACTTCCACCACTTTGCAGGTCACAAGCAGCTTCCTAATACTGTTCGAACTATGTGTCATCTAAATCCAGAAGGTAGTTGAAAGTAAAGACATGGGCTCTAGAGTAACTTTGGAATTGGAAAAAAGGACAGGGCAATCATCTTCATTGAAGTGATAGCTGACGACTGTAGAACAGAGAAGTCCTTGTTCAAAACACCTGCTCCTCCAGAAGAATTCTATTTTCTCACTCTGGGAGAAACAGAATTCTCTTAGGATGAAAACCTCTCACTGTCTCCTCCTCTTTGCTTATCTAGATTTCATTATTCCTTAAGTTTCTCGCAACTTATTGGTCATTCTTGAAATGCTTTTCAGACTTTTGTTCTCTAGAGTACATCTATATTACTAGTAAAACACTCATATAAAGTGGTGAAGGGATCACAGTTTTGGCATAAAGATTATTTTAAAGTGAAAACATTTGAAAACTTATCTTCACTTTTCTTATCTGACTATAGCCAAGACTCCCTAATACAGGTGCTATCAACTTTCTTCTGAGAGTTTCCTGCAACTTCTGGGAAGGAGACCAACTGCCCATCCATTAGCATAAAAAGATATACATGTATTTCCTTACTGAAGCTCTAAACACCCCCTTCCTCACACACACTTTCACATTAACTTTTTTTTTTTTTTAGTTACATTTTTTCATTTTAATTTTATTGGAGTATAGTAGATTTACAATGTTTTCTTAGTTTCAGGTGTACAGCAAAGTGATTCAGTTATACATATACATATATTCATTCCTTTTTAGATTCTTTTCTCATATAGGTTATTACAGAATATTGGGTAGAGTTTGCTGTGCTATACAGTAGGTCCTTGGTGGTTATCTATCTTATATATAGTAGTATGTGTATGTTCAGCCCAAGCTCCTGATTTATCCCCCTGCCCATGTTTCCCCTTTGGTAACCATAAGTTTGTTTTCACACATTAACTTTTTATGTAAACCTTTACCTCTGGGTTTCAGCAGGTTACTCATTTCTGAGTAACCCCTGCATGCATATATAAGGAAACCTTGTCTTTTGTCCTGTTAATTTCTCTATTGTCAATTGTGTCACAGCCTAACCCCTCTTCAAATTTAAATGGGCAGAAGACAAGTTTCCTCCTAATAGCAGCATATGCTACTCTGTATATTTTCATAAATGTGTCCTCTCTCCTCCTCTGCTTTTTCCTCCTTCCCCTCTAATCCTCCCTTCCTCCCCCTTCTTCTTATAGACCCTTTTACTACCTTTGAGGCCACAGTCATCCTCTTTACCACTGTACATCTCTAACACTAAACACAATGACCTAATCACTTTACTGAAACTTCTTATAAAAGTCAAAAATGGCCTCTGTTTTGCCAAATCTAATATTGGAAATTAAATATTATAAATTGGAAGAATCGGAGTGGTCTCCCTAGTTCATAATTATTTCCTCATCTCCAGCAATGTAAGTCAACATAACCCAGATGCCATTCTGATTGGATCAAGGTACAGCACTATTGATCTTGGCTGTGCAATCAGAACTCTGGTTTTAGAAATTTGAAAGTGGATCTGAAAGCAGCTCTTCTGCCCCTTTCCTGTTTGCCCATTTCTATTCCCCTCTAACCTTGAAAGAACCTAATCTGTTGATTCTTTTCCTAGATAAAAAGAAGTAAGATAAAGAATTAAGTAGTTAAAGAATGACTAGTTCTCTACCCACAGTGGCCTCCTTAGCAATCCTGCAGGCATATCACAAAGGCAAGATAACATCTGAAGAGAGAGTCAGCCTGCCTTCGCAGAATGGAGAACAATGCATAACCCAATCTCCTGCCTCTACGATTCACTGAGATTCTTCCTCCCCTTTTTTCCCTTTAAGAATTGTCATGGCTGAGCAGAATCTTTGGAGTTGGTCTTGGGACATGAGTCTACCTTCTCCCCAGATTGCTGGCTTTTCTGATTAAAACACCTTTCCTTTCTGTTGACGTTTGCCTCTTGATTATTGGTTTTTGAGCAGCAAGCAGCCAAACCTGAGTTTGGTAACAGATCCAATAGGGAGGTTGAACTTGCTTTAGATCTCTGCCCAAATAGCATTTAAGCTTGAGAGCTTAGCTTTCCATGTGTTGCAGAAAAGTAAGGGAAATGAGTCAGCAGAAAGCAAGAGAAACATAAGAAGCAATTACACAGAGAGGAGATGAGGTGAGAGACATACAGGAATTTTGGACTGACTGTACATCAGTGTTTTATTCCCAAATTTTTGCTGAATTCCTACTCTTAAATTCTATAAGAAATCCCTGTAATCTTTAAATTATTTTTTCTGCTTACATCAGCAGGAGTTGGTTTCTGTTAGTTTCAAACCAGATGGTCCTAACTAATATTCCTACATAACATTGTTATGTTTGCAGTCATCTGTACTAAGTCGGAGCCTTGGCTAGAGTAAGAAAGAAAATGAAGCAAAATACAGTGATAATAATAATAATGAAAAAAAATTTATTGGACCATTATTTGTCAAGAAACAACAGTTGATACGCAGAAACTTGGTAGCAACTAATGTGTGAAGAACTAATATTGTTTTGCAAAATGGTTGATGGTAACAGTGAAATAAATATTAAACAACTTTAAAGAGATTCTAAAACTTCAGAGAAATGAGAATCATCTGGTGAGTTTGATAAAATACAGATACCTGGGATCCATCCAGAGACTCTGATTCAGTAGAGCTGCTAACTATGCTGGGCTGTACAGGGCTATTATAGTTCTCACTGTGGAGACAGAGGCTGTGTAACAGCCATTTTCACTTACATATAGTCTTTATCTAGAATGTTTTTGAAATTTAGCTTTTATTTTTAATATGCTAAAAACTTGCTATACTTGCTATTTCATAGCAGGAAAATAAGGTGTCCTGGGGTGAGCTATGAAGAGAGTTCTAAAAAACAATAGCCAAACAAATGTTAAAAGATTTCCAGCTGTTTTCCTCTTACTTCACTTCAGGGCAAAATACTAGCTAATACTGCTTCTTTTAATGACTTCAGTCTGTGGACTCAAGGCAGCTATACCAGCTTTATGTAGATTTTTATACTTATTTGCAAGATTGCTTACCATATGGCATAAAATGAAGTTGTTGTGTTGAGTCCTCAGTAAAAATATTTATATTAACCTTAGTATTAGAAAAGAACTTGTATGGAAATGCTGTAGTCGTGCTCCAGATCTTCCCCGAATTGGAATTAATGTCAGCTGCATGATATGTTTCTCTTATTCTGAAAAATATATGTGAAAGAATACTTAGGACAAGATTTTAAGAAACTTCATGCAGGGCTTGCTATAGAAGATTTGAAATATGAAAATAACCAGCAGCTGATTTGTGGTATAGTGCTGTTAGCTAGGCTAGATTGGTAAAGATTACAATTAAACCAAAAGCAACTATAAAGCTCTGGTCTTTATGTTTTCCCTGGGGCACCTCATATGAAGCAATTAAGAATACATTGTCACTTATAAAACATGAAAATTCACTCTGAACAGTGATTGCTTGCTTCACTGACATTGCCTTTTGAAGCATCAACTCCTCCCCTTGGTTTTGGCTCATGCCTTTGTCAAGCCAGAAGTCACTCATTTATTATTTATTCATTTATGGATGAATAAATTCTCTTGTTTGTGTCAAATTGGTAAATACCATTCTTGGCAGCCCATTTTCTTTAAATTTGGGGTTTTACACAAATATTTGGCTTTTACGTAAATAATTGAGCCCAGAAGTCATTAGTACATTCTGAACAATTACTTACTGTGTCAGGAAGTCAGAGAATTGGAAAATAGTTTATCCTTGGAGTCAGAAGCCTTGAGTTTGAATACTGACTCTTTTTTAACTTAAAAAAATTTTTTTAACATCTTTATGGGCATATAATTACTTTACAATGGTGTGTTAGTTTCTGCTTTATAACAAAGTGAATCAGCTATACATATACATATATCCCCATATCTCCTCCTTTTATTCAGTAGTTTTATGGTCAGAGGCAAGTTACATGACCAGTTTCTTTGTTTGCACAAATGAGGATATTTATATCTACTTTAAAGGTTTATGAGAGAAAAGGCATATAAAAGACTTTTGTAGAATGTAAAGCAATATATCCATGTAATGTATCATAATTATCATTATATTATTACAGCTGAATCCCTGTAGAGCCATATTTTATGCCCACATGTAGAATTTAGCATAAAATTATTTGTAACTAGATATTTAAAATGCTTTTGATGATGAAGTCCTAGGTTTTTTTCTTTTTGTTAATTTTGCAGACCTCTAAACTTTGTAGTGCTCTTCCTGAATGAAAAATTATGCATTCTGTGTATGCATTCTATGTAATGTATCATATATGTTACATCCTTGGCATTTATTCTATTTTTGCAGCATTAAAGTAGTGTAGGCCCATTGAAGTAGCTCTATCTCTATGCCCTTAAACTCTACCAAAACATCCCCTCCTTGAGGGACCTCACAAATGGAAAAGTGTGTATGCACCCAATGGGTCTGGCATGTATCAAAATCACCTTTTTTTCTGGGTTCCATCCCCAAAGTTTTTGATTCAGTAGATATGTGGAGGATTCCCCCCCCCGCCCCCAATTTTTAGCAATTTTCCAGATAAGCCAATACTACTGCTGCTCCAGAACTGCAGTTCAAGAACCACTGCTTAGGATAAAGGTATGGGCCACTCTTCTTTGTTATACCCTACAACAAAGGTTTGGACTCCAGTTCTGAATTGAGGAGCTTTATGATCTAGCATTCAACCATATGATAAGGTACTACTCAATGTATACATACATGATTTAACCTTCTACCATTTTGGAGAATTAAATTTAAAATGTGAATTCATGACTCATTCTTTCCTAAACCTTCGCTGAGCATCTACTGTGGGCCAAAATCTTTTTTCATGTGCTATGACATTTTATTGTATTTTTAATAAAAATATGACATATTTCTTGAGAGATGTGCCTTAAAAGTATGTCACAGCAAGAAACCAAATCCCACAAATTAGAGAGCCTCTTTAAGGGTGTATGGTGGGAATTAGGTAAGGTTATTTAAATGTTAGAAAAAAAACACTGATGAAATTGGGCATATAAATCCATTCTGTATGGCTTTCCAGAAATTTTGGAGACCCTCTTAAGAAACTTGGCTTTCAAATTCAGTTCTGTCTTCTTTTGAATTAAGAGCTTTGGATAGCACCTAGCACATATTAGGTCCTCAAAAATATTTGCTATTGAGTGAATAGTGTGTTTGTGTACAAAATAATTATGCATATATAAATTTAATTATCTTTATATGAGTATTTGTCAACAAAAATTATAGAAAACCAAAAAAATGTGTAAATATAACCTTATCTTCTTTTTACTACTTTAAAGTTTATTATTGTTTGGTTGTCTTTTTTAGTACTTATGGTTACTTTGAAAGAAACCATAGGAAAAAAATTCCATTTAAGAATTTCAAAATGTACCATGAGCTACTGACAAACCATTACATAAAATATTTTCATGTCACTATTTCATTCACAAGATTTCATCAAAGAATATTACATTCTCTTGGGAAAAAAAAGTGATGGGAGAGACTAATAATAAATGTATTTTGATGGAGCTATACCAAGTATTACCTTGTGATATTGAGAGAGCTATTTCTTACGCTTAGGGTAGAAATTATCACATCTTAGATTTAAGGTGTCAAGTTCCTGGCAATGCTTGTCAGGTTGTTACAGTGGGTAGCTCATTACTGACAAAATCAATATTGATATCTGTAAAGATCCTAATTAGGAATCCAAAGTGCCATTTAAAATATTCTTCTGTGAACTGGAGCAAGAAATTAATTAAAGATTGAATATAGGTTCACGGGTTTGAACTGCTTTGTTTTGTATTTTGTATGTGTGCCTTTCGGTTCTTCCAATATGGTGACAAGTTTTTTAACTTGACTTTGCTTTTTTGTTTGCCTTTTCTTCATTTGAATATTTGTCATGCATTGACTAGTTATTAGGCATTCAGATAGCCTTTTAAGGTAGTGATTAAATAAATGATTCAAATCTTTAATCCCAAATGATTCTTTAGCAGGCCGCTGCTATAGCTGATAAATAAGCTAATGTTTATTTATATGTATATTTATTATATTTTCAACAGCCAAAAAAGGATAAAAATCAAGATAACTAAAATGTAAGTGCATTAATTTTTCAAAATTTTCAGGTATCTTAGCAATAGAAGAGATGGCATTATATAAATTTTAATTGATAATGAGAGATTGGTCTTTAAAAAAGAGGCATGTACCTTTATAAGTTCATTTTTTAGATTAGCAAAAAGGGGATCTGGGATCCCCTTGTGATCAAATTTGTTTTTCAGTGGACAAACACCCATGCACTTGTTCAACGTTCTGGCAGCCCATTCAGGGTAAGATTGAGTTATTGAGCAGAAGGTACTCTCATCATTCTAAATAGTATATCCCAGGTAAGAAGGATAAATCTATGCTAATTTGGGACAGAGCCAAATAAGTCAGTCACTTATGTGCCATTAAATGAGAAATTAATTCACTGCAAACTAAGCTATCAACAAACAGCAAGGAGAAGACTGAAATTATAAAACATTCATCTGTAGCCACATTTTCAGGGGAAAAATTTATTTGACTATAAACAACAAAAGCAATACCAGAAGTTGATTAATGAACTAATTTGTCATAAATTTATACTGTTAACTATGTTAAAAAATTATAGAGCTTTAACATTTTATATGCAAGATTAATCAGCTCAGTAATGTTAAAATAGACAAATTTATGCAGGTACAGAAATTTCTAAGTTTAATGGAATAGCAACACTTACTTTTTTACTTTGTTGCAAAAGGAGGCCAGACTTCTATTACTGCCCTGAGGTACTTCAACCAGCTGAATGAAACAACCTGTCAGCTTAAAATAAAAACTGTTAAATTAAAATAGTTTGGTGTGGAGAAAAGATTAATACAATTCTAAAATTTTTATTTTGTTTTAGAAAGCCATTATGTTTTTTATTTTATTTATTTATTTATTTATTTATTTTATGGTGTGCGGGCCTCTCACTGTTGTGGCCTCTTCCATTGCGGAGCACAGGCTCCGGACGCGCAGGCTCAGCGGCCATGGCTCACGGGCCCAGCTGCTCCGCGACATGTGGGATCTTCCCGAACTGGGACACGAACCCGTGTCCCCTGCATCGGCAGGCGGACTCTCAACCACTCCACCACCAGGGAAGCCCTTTAATTTTATTTTAAAAATATTTACTGAAGCAATACATATGGAAAAATATATAAATTTTAAATATATAATTTGATTTTTGAGGAATATATGCAACTGTGAATATTAATATCCAATCAAAAAATATAGAACATTTCTATCACTTTAGAAAGTTCCCCCATATCTCCTTCTGTCAATCTGAACATCTGTTTGGTAACTGTTAATTCAGATTTCTATCAACATAGATTAATGAATGTGCTCTTTTGTTTCTGGCTTCTTTCATTTAAATGATATATGTTTTAAAATTCATGTTGTCATATGTATCAATAGTTCATCTTTCTTAGTTACCTATTAGTAGTATTCTATTGCATGAATATTCCATAGTTTATCCGTCTTCATGTTGAAAAACAGTTGTGTTGTTTGTAGTTTTGGCGTATTGTAAAGAATACTTAATTTTCATATACAAGTGTGTTTTGGACATGTGCTTCACTTCTTGTGAATAAATCCATAAACGGCTCAGTTAAAGAAATAATTTTGCTTTATGTATTTTGCAGCCATTATTAGGTACATCTACATTTAAGTTTATTATGTCTTCCTGATTGACTTATTATTATGAAATGACCCTTTTCTTTCTCTAATAATACCCTGCGGGCTTCCCTGGTGGCGCAGTGGTTGAGAGTCCACCTGCAGATGCAGGAGACACGGGTTCATGCCCCGGTCTGGGAAGATCCCACATGCCGCGGAGTGGCTGGGCCCGTGGGCCATGGCCACTGAGCCTGCACGTCGGAGCCTGTGCTCCGCAACGGGAGAGGCCACAGCAGTGAGAGGCCCGCGTATCGCAAAAAAAAAAAAAAAAAAAAATACCCTGCCTTAAGCTTCATTTTCTGGTATTAATAACCACACACAGCTTTGTTTTGTTGGTTGAATGTTAAATATTTTTATTTTTTTAAACTTTCAACCTATCTGTGCCTTTGTTTTTCAAATTTGACTCTTGTAAAAAATAAAGCCTTTCTTTTCTATCTAGTTTGTCAATTTCTCCCTTTTATTTGGAATATATTTAGTATATTTATGGGTATTGTTAGATTTAAGACTGCCATGTTCGTATGTGCTTCTAGTTGTTTCTTCTGTTTTATTTTGTTCTTCTATTTCTCCTTCCCTGATTTTTGCAGTTTGATTTTTTAGCCCGTTTCATTTAATTTCTCTTTTGGATTTTTAGTTTTTCTTCTTTGTACTATATTTTATGTGATTATACTAGCTTAGAACTTACAATATGCATCGTAAATATTTCACAGTTTACTTAGAGTTAATATTGTGCCACTGCATTTAAAATGTAAGAATTTCCAATAGCAGATAACATTTACCATCCCTTCATCTTTTATTCTCTTGTTGTCTTTTATCTTTTGTTTACATATACAACAACTCTGACAATGAAATCCTGTGTTTTTGCTTTAAACAGTCAGCTGTCTTTCAAAAAATTAAGTAGTTTTTCATATTTACTAACATATTTACCATTTTTGCTGCTCTTTTTTCCTTTCTGTATTCCATCTGGTATCATTTTCTTTGCATCCGAAGACTGACTTCAGTATTTTTTGTGTGCATGTGAGCTGACTGATTTCTCTCAACATTTGTTTATATGATAATATATTTATTTTAAATTTTCAAGCATGTACTCAATGAGTTATAAAAGTATGGATTCTTTTCTTTTTTTATAGAGCTTTAAAAATGCTATTCCACTGTCATCTGGCTTCCATCGTTTCTGATGAGATAATGCTTTAATTCAGATTGTTGTTCTACTGCATGAAATTTTTTTCCCCCTCTCTGCCACTTTTTATGATGATCTTTTCAACTTTGGTCTTCATATGTTTGAGTATAACATGTCTACATGTGGTTGTCTTTGCATTTATTCTGTTTGGGATTTATTGAATTTCTTAAATCTGTAATTTGATATTTTATACCAGAGTTGGAGAAAATTTCAGAGCATTATTTCTTCAAATGAATTTTTCTTTCTTTCCTTTCCTCTCCTGCTAGCATTCCAAAATTATCCATATATTAGGCTCCTTATCTCCTAAGTTTCTTAGTCCCTGCTCACTTTTATATAATTCTTTTATTTTCTCCTCTTCAGTTTGGGTAATTTCTATTCTTTTTCTTTTTTTTCTCTCCTTTTTTAATAAATTTATTTATATTTATTTTTGGCTGCATTGGGTCTTCATTGCTGCGTGCGGGCTTTCTCTAGTTGCAGCGAGCGGGGACTACTCTTTGTTGCAGCGTGTGGGCTTCTCATCGCGGTGGCTTCTCTTGTTGTGGAGCACAGGCTCTAGGTGCGCGGGCTTCAGTAGTTGTGGAGAATGGGCTCAGTAGTTGTGGCACACGGGTTTAGTTGTTCCATGGCATGTGGGATCTTCCCAGACCAGGGCTTGAACCTGTGTACCCTGCATTGGCAGGTGGATTCTTAATCACTGCGCCACCAGGGAAGCCCTATTCTTTTTCTTTCAAGTACTCTTTTTCCCCGTCATCTTATATCTGTTTTTAAGTATACCCAGTGACTTTTTAACTACAGATACTATATTTATATTACTAAATTTTCCATTAGTCTTTGTTTTTTCATAGTTTCTAATTTCCTTGAGATTCCTCATTTGTCTACTCATTATGTTCATCTTTACTTCATCTTCTTGAACATCCTTTTAATAATCTCCTTAAAGTCCCTATCTGTTAATTCCAACATCTGTTCTATCACAGAATTTCTATTCACTGGGCTATTTTCTTGATTATGGTTCAGAATTCCCTGTTCTTTACGCATCTGTGCATTTGTTATTAAATGTTGGATATTGTAGATGACACATTAGGAATTGTTTTTACAAAGTGTGCAATTTTTCTCTGGCAGGCAGGCGGTTAAGATTGTTTTGGTCTTGTTAGCCTCTATTTTATTTTTTGTGGGGCCACATGTAAGTTAATAGGTAGAGCATTTACTTTAGAGCACGATTTTTACTTGTAAGAGATAGCTTTGTGTGATCTCAAATGAATGCCTGAAGTTCTCAGCTCAGTGTCTTCTCTCGCTGGGTCAGAACTTTGGCACCGCATAACTTCTACTTGTGTGTGGTGAACACAACCTCTTGGCCAACAATCTGCAGTAAATCTCACATAGACTCCTGACCCCCATGCATTGCATAGTTCCTTCTGTGCTCTGCCCTACAGATTACAGCTTCCTTTGCAGCCTGGAACTGCAGTCTCTGCCTCCTCAGTTTAGTGATACTGCTGCTCAAATTGGGCTACACTAGTCTGCCTAGCAGCAGGAAAGGGCCCCGAAGACACCAGGATGATCATAACAATACTTTGCTGTTTCCCTTCTCTTAAGGATTGATGTCTATACTGGCTGTTTGCTTCATATATTTTGTCTAATTTCATAGTTGTTTTCAGTGGTAAGGGAAAGTTTAGTACTTGTTACATTGTCATGATCAGAAGTAAAGGTTCCTAAAATTCGTGCACTTTTAATACAGATCATTTGAGGTATTACCTCTTCTGCAAGCGCCTCAGACACAATTAATTGTTTCTTCTCTTATGAACTCATCCTCTCTATTATTTTACTGTGTTGGCATTATTGGTTTGCAGGTTAATTTAAGCAATATGCTATTGCTGAAATCAGGTATTATGCGTTTTCTTCTTTGCATTTGTTATGCCTAATCATATATAGTTTAAGAATATGATAAATAGTTGTTGAATAAATGAAAAGTCCTCCTGTCTAACCCTGTAAATTACAGCTGAAATAATGTTTCATCATTTTACTGTTTAATTCTGGTTTCACTTGTGTCTAGACTCCGTATAAGCAGAGAAATGTTCAAATATTATACAAGAACCTCTGTGGTTACTAAATGATTGGAAAACTACTAATGAAACCATCAGGATGAATTGCACAATGATTACTTAATTTCCTACTCTTGGAATGTTCCCAAAAGAAGTTGCCTGCTAACAGTATAATTTAGTAGCCTCTGAGTAAAAAGACATTTTTCCTACAAATAATGATATGAAGTTTTAATTCATGGTAATATAACTCAAAATATAAATGTAATGAAATGTATGTTTCTATGTGTGCATAACGACACAATAAGAATAGAAAATGCTATCATTTAAACCTCCAACTATGATATTTTTATCTAATAAAATGTAAATACTATAACATTTTATTTAGTTTTGATGAAACCAGAACTTTAAAAATATTATAAAAATTTTCCCTTTCTTTAGAAAAAATCATTAATTCAGGAACACAGAATTTGTGAATAAGTTTTTTTTCCCCAAAAGTATTGATAATATTAATACATTCCCCTAATTAAGATTAGTTACTCTCATTACCAAATTAACCCAGCACATTATTGAATGATTCTTTCAGATTCGTATTTTTAGGTTGACATATATGACACATACCTCTTTGTTCTTTGGCAATGTGCTTTCCCAGGTCCTGGGTAGAAAAGAACCTTTAAAGAGCATCAGAGATGGTTCCACAATGTTCATATTTCTACTGCTTTTATTTTCTTCTTTTGGCATCAAGTCAGTTGAGAAGGATGGATATATAGGAGGAATGCTACTTTCAAATCCTATATGGTAGTTATCCAGTTCACTCCATGAATTAATTTCATCCACACTAGTGGATGATGGAGGTAAAATATTGAATCCGTAATCATCAGCACCATGGTATTTTCCTATGGGGTTTCCCCCAAAGCTTTCTTTATTTATGTTTTGAGGATTTGGTAGCACGGAATGCCTAAAACCAATTACTCCTGTTTTATTAACTTGGTGACAGGAGAGTTCTGTGCTTTTAGAAGTGAATTCATTTAAGGATATTTGGTGTGCTTCATCTAATGAATGCCTTTTTGAGTCCCCGTGTGGTGCACTGGGCACAAAAATGGTGTTTTCTTCAATTTCTCTCTGATAGAGTGGGATTGTATTACTGATCTCATCTACTACATGATCAAAACCCAGACTGGTGTGGCTAGGAAAAAGAGGTTGATTTACAGAGTGAAATTCTTGGTGCTTTTGCTGCTTTTCATGTGATTCACTGGGATTTAGATCTGTTTTCCAACAATATGCCATTCTTTATTTTATGTAACTGAGAGGGTTGACTCTGCTCCAGATATCTCCTAGATGATATTATAAAATATGATAGGAATTTTCCTAGAAAAAACATACAAGGAAACAAAAAAACTTTAATTAGAAATAAAAGAGCTTGCAAGAAAGAAATATGTTGAGTAAATACAAACAATTGTTTTGAAGTTTCTCCTTAGCAAATGAAATAATTCCATGAGTAATATAAAACTCCATCAGGGCTCACAATATTAAAGTCCAAGGGGCAGTATTGACTTCAGAGACATTCATGAAACTCCTGTGATAGAAAAATAAGTCCACTTCAGTTATGACAGGAGTTTCATGAATCAATCCAAAGACAATATTCCCCTTTGGACTCCTTTTCCTACTGAAAATCCACTTGCCGACAGCAGCATTATCTCCCTCAGTATTCAGTCATCTATCAGCATGGTAGTATGCTAAAGTCTTTTTATTATCTTAAAAGTCTCTTCGTGATCAGCAGTTATTCCATCCCTAGATACAGTCTTAACTTCTTTCTCCTCTCCATAACCAATCATCTTATAGGTTGGCTAGATCCGTTCGTCTCTTCCCCAAAACTTCTTTAAATAATTGCAAACTTCTTTCATCATTTCTCCAGAACAACTTTCATTAAGTTTACTAATGAGTAAATTCAACTAATGTTTATCAGTCTCTATTTTATCTCTCTGCAAAATTTGAGTCCGTTCATTCACTATCCTTCTTATTTTAAAATTTCTTGCTGTGTCCTACTTTGGCTCTCTGTGACACTGTACTCTCTGAGTTCTTTGTTAGCTCCTTCTCAAGACTCCTTTGTCTATTACTCATTTTCTACCTGACCCTTGTCAGAGCTTCTTTTCTTCTCAATTATTCTCTTCTTGTAAGTTATTTCATACCTCCTGTGGTTTAAATTACCATCTATATGCCAATGACTCCAAACTAGACGATTCTTATTATTATCTGCTCAGTGTCTCCACTTTGAATTTTTTTTTTAACCTCTAAGAGAAAGTCCAAAACCTAAATCAAAATTCACCCAAGAACCTGCTCCTATCCTAGTGTCCTCTGTGAAAGAAAATAACCCAGCCATTCACTCAGTTGTTTAGCCCAGAAACCAGGGTTTTATCTTTGAATCTTCCCACACCTTTATTCTTCTACATCCAATGAACCACAAGTTCCTGTAGGAAGTCCTTCTTCCTTTCTCTGTCTACCATTGCCACAATCCTCGTCTATAGTTTTCATCTTCTCACCTGCAATGTTGCATTGTCTCTGAAACTACTTCTACATTTTCTGCAATTCATTCTTGTGTCCTGTAGTCCATTTTTTAATATTATAGTGTTATATTTAAGAGACTGACCATGTATCTCTCCTGGATAAAGCTTTTCAGTGGTTTCTCACTACCTCAGATAACATGTATAGATGTTACATATGTAAGATTTCACATTCCCATTAGATCATTAGGCCATGTTAGTCTTTCTTGCTTATAACTCAGTACCTAGTACTTTGCTTTACTCAGACTAGTTACTCATTTATATTTATTGATCAAGTGATTTAATAAATTAGAAAAATTATAATAGAATTATAACAAAATAAAATTGAAAAGTATTTATGTCATTTTAAGGAGTTAGTAATTCACTTAAAAATTGTATGTATGTCTGTTAAAGACAAAAACATTTTAAAGGATAATTATGATAATTATTACCTATCAAATATTATTTTCTATCAATGTGTTTTGCAATAGCAATTTATTTTCATTATATTGGCACCAAAAATTTACTTAAAACTCATGATCACCTGAGAAATAAGTGAATTAGATTTATTATACTTCACTCAGGAAATTGAACTGATAGGTTAGAGAAAGATTTTCAAGAGATGTAAATAAAGTGTGTATAGAAGGAAATATAGCAGAGGGAGGAACAGTCCCAAACACATTCTATGAGACCACCATCACCCTGATACCAAAACCAGACAAAGATGTCAGAAGAAGGAAACTACAAGTCAATAACACTGATGAACATAGATGTAAAAATTCTCAACAAAATATTAGCAAACAGAATCCAACAGCACATTAAAAGGATACTACACTGTGATCAAGTGGGATTTATCCCAGGAATGCAAGGATTCTTCAATATATGCAAATCAATCAATGTGATAAACCATATTAACAAACTGAAAGAGAAAAAGCATATGATCATCTCAGTAGATGCAGAAAAAGCTTTTGACAAAATTCAACACCCATTTATGATAAAAACCCTCCATAAAGTAGGCATAGAAGGAACTTATCTTAACATAATAAAGGCATTTTATGACAAACACACAGCCAACATCATTCTCAGTGGTGAAAAACTGAAACCATTTCCTCTAAGATCAGGAACAAGACAAGGTTGCCCACTCTCACCATGATTATTTAACACAGTTTTGGAAGTTTTAGCCACAGCAATCAGAGAAGAAAAAAAAAGGAATCTAAATCGGAAAAGAAGAGGTAAAGCTGTCACTGTTTGCAGATTACATGATACTATACATAGAGAATCCTAAAGATGCTACCAGAAAACTACTAGAGCTAATCAATGAATTTGGTAAAGTAGCAGGAAACAAAATTAATGCACAGAAATCTCTTGCATTCCTATACACTAATGATGAACAATCTGAAAGAGAAATTAAGGAAACACTCCCATTTACCATTGTAACAAAGAGAATAAAATACCTAGGAATAAACCTACCTAAGGAGACAAAAGACCTGTATGTAGAAAACTACAAGACACTGATGAAAGAAATTAAAATTGATACAAACAGATGGAGAGATATACCATGTTCTTGGATTGGAAGAATTAACATTGTGAAAATGACTATACTGCCCAAAGCAATCTCCAGATTCAGTGCAATCCCTATCAAACTACCACTGGTATTTTTCACAGAACTAGAAAAAAGAATTTCACAATTTGTATGGAAACACAAAAGACACCGAATAGCCAAAACAATCTTGAGAAAGAAAAACGGAGCTGGAGGAATCAGGCTCCTGGACTTCAGACTATACAAAAAGCTACAGTAATCAAGACAGTATGGTACTGGCACAAAAACAGAAATATAGATCAATGAAACAGGATTGAAAGCCCAGAGATAATCCCACGCACATATGGTCACCCTATTTTGATAAAGGAGGCAAGAATATACAATGGAGAAAAGATAGCCGCTTCAGTAAGTGGTGCTGGGAAAACTGGACAGCTACATGTAAAAGAATGAAATTAGAATACTCCCTAACACCATACACAAAATAAATTCAAAACGGATTAAAGACCTAAATGTAAGGCCAGACACTATAAAACTCTTAGAGGAAAACGTAGGCAGAACACTCTATGACACAAATCACAGCAAGATCCTTTTTGACCCACCTCCTAGAGAAATGGAAAGAAAAAAGAAAAATAATCAAATGGCACATAATGAAACGTAAAAGCTTTTGCACAGCAAAGGAAATCATATACAAGACAAAAAGACAACCCTCAGAATGGGAGAGAATATTTGCAAATGAAGCAACTGACAAAGGATTAATCTCCAATATTACAAGCAGCTCAATATCAAAAAAACAAACAACCCAATCCCCAAATGGGCAGAAGACGTAAAGAGACATTTCTCCAAAGAAGATATACAGATTGCCATGGAACACATGAAAGGATGCTCAACATCACTAATCATTAGAGAAATGCAAATCAAAACTACAGTGAGATATCATCTCACACCAGTCAGAATGACCACCATCAAAAAATCTAGAAACAGTAAATGCTGGAGTGGGTGTGGAGAAAAGGGAACCCTCTTGGACTGTGGGTGGGAATGTAAATTGGTACAGCCACTATGGAGAACAGTATGGAGGTTCCTTTAAAAGACTAAAAATAAAACTACCATATGACCCAGCAATCCCATTACTGGGCATATACCCTAAGAAAACCATAATTCAAAAAGAGGCATGTACCACAATGTTCATTGCAGCTCTATTTACAGTAGCCAGGACATGGAAGCAACCTAAGTGTCCATCGACAGATGAATGGATAAAGAAGATGTAGCACATATATACAATGCAATATTACTCAGCCATAAAAAGAAATGAAATTGAGTTATTTGTGGTGAGGTTGATGGACCTAGAGTCTGTCATACAGAGTGAAGTAAGTCAGAAAGAGAGAAGCAAATACCGTATGCTAACATATATATATGGAATCTAAAAAAAAAAAAGTTCTGAAGGACCTAGGGGTAGGACAGAAATAAAGATGCAGACAAGAGAATGGACTTAAGGGGGAAGGGTAAGCTGGGACAAAGTGAGAGAGTGACATAGACATATATACACTACCAAATGTAAAATAGATAGCTAGTGGGAAGCAGCCACGTAACACAGGTAGATCAGCTCGGTGCTTTGTGACCACTTAGAGGGGTGGGATAGGGAGTGTGGGAGGGAGACGCAAGAAGGAGGAGATATGGGGATATATTTATATGTATAGCTGATTCACTTTATTATAAAGCAAAATCGAACACACCATTATAAAGCAATTATACTCCATTAAAGATATTTTTTTTAAAGTGTTAACTAGGAAATTAATGTATAAAATGTTACTCCAAACTATTCTAATACATGGGTCACATAGACACATTATCTAGCCATAATCCCTTTTTCAGGAATTGCCATTTTTCCCCCTCCACGTTAGTAGTGAAAGCTCTGCTTCTTTATAGCAAATTATATTCTTTCATCTATCTCTGTCATGGAACTCAGAATTTGTCAGGTGTGACTTTACTCTGACGACCGTAGTTAATATCCTGTTCCAGTCTTCCTTAGCCTAGCCTGCTCTGGCTTAGCTTAAATACAGTACATATGGCTATATTATATTGACTTTTAAATTTTTTGTGGTTTCAAGAGAACTGAGTGTTTTTAAATTAGTTTTAAAATTGTCTAGAGCCATAAAGGAGGTCTTAAATGAAGTATGAGTGGTCTAATGCTGAAATTAAAGATTCACTTAAGCTATACCACCTTATTGCTATTAATAATAATGATACTTAACATTTTTTGAGCACTTGCTCTGAGCTACTGCTTTATATACACGAACATGTTTACATGTATTAACATATCATCTCAACCTGTGATATTATTACTGCCATTTAACAAATGAGGAAACTGAGGCACAGAAAGGTGAATCAAGTTACCCAAGGTCTGAGGGTTTGTGTTCACAGATTTGTTTTAAACAGGAATTAAAGACAGCATTTGGGTGATAACGCCATACTAATATGACACCTAGAACATGCCTGAATTTAGGTACTGAAACACAGCATTAACTCAACTCAAACTATCTTTGCTGAAAAGAGTTGAAAACTTTAAAATTTTTATTAATAATAATATTTTTCCATGCATTTCTTGCAGCACTGTTACTTGAAATGGGTTAGAGGCCTGTCTGAAAAAATCTCATTATAATGAATAAGAAATATTTATTCATATTGAAAATGTAATAAAACAATCCAGATTCATTTTTTTCAATATTAAATTTGGTGATTTTAAGGGATTTCTAATAATTTTACGTCTCCTCTTTACCATCACAATCTAGAAGCTAGACTATTTCTTAGTTTATAAGCAAACAAAAATGTGATTTAGTGCTAGCTGGTAAATGTATGCACTCTGCATTATGAAGTAATGCATGAAATAGTAAAAGTCATATACCTTGACTTTGAGGCAGAACTATACATACAACATGGTAGCAAATACGTCATACTTGAGAGGGCATGGCTATTGGTTCCTGATTTAAATAAGACTCTGCAAAACTATAGAAAAAAATCTGTGTGATAAGCAGAGTAATGCCCCCCTGCAAATATTCCCATATCTTAATCCTTGGAACCTGTGACTATGTTAGATTTAAGTGACAAAGAAGAATTGAGGTTGTAAATGGAATTGTTTCCTAGTCAACTTACCTTAAAATAAGAAATTATTTGAATAGGCTCAGTATAATCACAAGGATCCTTAAAACTAGAAAAGGAGGCAGAAGAGGTCAGAGGGATATTCAGGGAGGACTCAACCTGCTTTTACTGGCTTTGAAGATGCAAAAAGGGGCCATGAGCCAAGGAACGTGAGCAGCCTCTAGAAGCTAGAAAGGGCAAGGGAATGGATTTCCCCCTAGAAGCATCGAGAAAGGAACACAGCCCTTGATTTTAGCACAGTGAGACTTGTGTTGTATTTCTGGCCGACAGAATTATACGATAATGATTTGTGTTATTTTAAGTAACTAAGTTTGCGATCATTTGTTACAGTGGCAATAAAAAATCAATACAACATGAAAACTGGAATCTGCTTCCTGAATGGACTGGAAAATCAGGGACTAGTAGAAGGATAGCAGACCACAGAAAAACACTCTTCCATTCTTTGTTGGTAAGTTCAGCTAAATTCGAACAGGGATGTTTAAAAGGTGTTAGTAATGACAACTTAGTATTCTGCAATAGCTTATAACTTTCTATTCA